AGAGACCGAGTCTACCACTTACGGACGCCCGGCCGCGTTTAATGGCGCCCTGTGCACAGGACGAGGGCTTCACTCGCTCAATAGACAATTGATACCGTTCTCGACTTGAACGGAAGATGGATACCTCCTCGTGATCGCTCCCAAGTGCATCGAGATACATCGGGACAAGCGAAACCGGCAGTTGCGAGACCAAATTATAACAATTATCCGATTCCTCATTCGACCCTTTTGTAACGAGTTGGATTAAAGAAAAGCCTTTTTAGAAATTCCACTTCTTAAGATGATAGGTACCACTGATAGGGCACCTTTGAATATTACGAATGTAACCCGACTCGGAAAGTGAAACGCTTTTTTCACGTTTTCTTTTACGATAAACTACCATTGACATTTATCATTGTGTTCCAATGGCAACGGAATTTGTAAAAACGTTTCATCCCTCTCCCGATAAATCGCTGAGATTTTTAATGAAATAAAAATAATACAAATAGAACGAAGGTAACCGTGTCCCAAAACGCCCAAGATGTACCTAATGCGTAAGCGCATTTCGTGGAAAAAAAAAATAATTAAGAGCAATTGATAATATCTAATCATTCTCTTTAACTTGGAGGTTTCACTGCCTTCTCGAATAGCGGCCGCGTAACGAATTTTCATTAGAAACCCTCGCTTGGCAAAGACAAATTAACTAACCGGTCTTCGGTTCTCGGTCCTTCTAAGCATTTTGTGCGAATTCGAGCCCGTTCCTGTAAATTAAAACTTGTCTTCTCCGGCTCGGAGTTGCGAGGCTGCAACGTCCCTGGAGTCGCGTAATCGCGATCTCGTCCCGCCCGGTCGTTGCCCTACATACCCAAATACATAATTAATGAATATCCGCGCGACGTCTAATTAGAAACGATAGAGGACCACAATGACAGGGAAATAGGATTTTAATTGGTAAGCAATGAGCGAAGGCACACATCGGGCAACCTCGGATCAAAAGTGGCCCCTCTCGCATAAGTCATTATACCGCAAGTGAAATCCAATTTACAGCTGTCTGCCAGGCCCCCCGACACGCTTCGAGAAATGCACGCCGGTTGTTTAATTAATCGTTAAACCGCGCGATCATTAAAGATCGATGAGGTATAATGACGAAGGTGGCCGTACAATACATCCGCACGGACCCGTGCACACGTTGGAGGGCAGTGATAAAAGAGTTGATAAGTCACAGTCAGATTTGCAGTCACGCTTTCTAGCCTCGGCCCTCGTCTGGTCTCCTTTTCTCGTCCCCATCGGCGTCTACGAGACGATCTCTTTTTCTCGCACCTGCCTTCGACCTCCCAAGATGTCGAGTTAAAATTGAAAAAAAAAAAAATAAAATAAAATGATTCCAGAGAATATTGAATAATTGGTAAATATTTAGTGATTAAAGAGGGAGGAAGGACTAACAGAGGAAGAAAATCCCCCAGTCAAAACGGGCAAGGATAAATCCTATCAGAGGCAAAGTTAACTATCAATTCAAATCATGGATTTCGATCGATGTAACTCATGTTTATGAGTCCCGGGTTTATTAAATAACGGTGAAACTGTGTAAATCGATCGACGTAACTCATGTTTATGAGTCCCGGGTTTATTAAATAACGGTGAAACTGTGTAAATAAGATCAATTTGTAGGGAAATACTCATAGAACCTTATATATTAGGGAACACCAGCTTAGAGGAGGAAGGACGATACTTAAATGACCGTTTAAAGAAATTAAAATTGAAAGATTCTTTGGAGATATTACAGGTAATAGATTTCGGCCGGACACAAAAAGCCGATATAACTTGAGGATGAAAAAAAAAAAAATAGAATAAAAAGAATGAATGGGGAAAACAGTTGATATTTTTGAGGGGCTGAGATTACGGTATCGGAAAAGTGATAAGACCGGGAAAGCGTCATTTTCTTTAAATATTAGAGGGCAGGTGTCAGCTGGAAATTGCGGGAGGTCGTAACTCCGTGAGGAACGATTTCCTCGGGAAAGTCGACATGAGGACGAGGTTTCTAATCGGCGACCAAAGGAAAAAAAAAGAGGCGCATCGCGAAGGCTCATCGATTTTCCGCGGTAATTTTAAGATCCCGTCGTGCGGGGAACACTTTGAATGCGTTAAATACATTAAATACGTTATATCGCGAGAGTTTTTAGGAAGGAACGAATATAATTTCATTCGGCGATCCGAGTGGTCTCTCCGAATCGTTTAATTTTATTCCGCCGAGCATGCACGGTGCGGAATGCCTCGATCCGAAGTAACGACCGCGCTAAATTATCCCGAATGCAAGTCCCGAGGAATATCCTCGCGGAGATGCAGCCTTTAAGTGCACGGCCCTGAGTTACGTGTCGCACGGAACAGGAGTTTAAATTGCTGCACGTGAATGGACTCGGGCTTGCCACCTTGAACTTATTCGCGCGTTCAACCCTGCAACATAATGTCGGATCGCGGTCATGCAACCTGGAGCTCGTTCGCGGATTCGTTCCCTTTCTCCGAGAGTTATGCACCTCAAAAAGATCCGACTAAACCTGTAGTTAAGGACGTTTTGTAGGTTTAAAACAGTCCCATTGAAAAAAAAAAGAAAAAAAAAGGATGGAATTTGAACTATGTTGTCTGAATTGGGCGTATTTGTAAATTGCTACCCGTTAATGAACTCGGGCTTGTCATCGCGAAATTTCGAGTTTATTCGATACTTCGATGTATTCGATTGTAGTTATGCAAACGGGAATCCACTCGTGGGTTTAAACCCGATTCCTTGAAAGTTATCTTCTTTTAGAAGATCGGGCTAAATTTCCACGATTAAGTAAACTTTGCACGGTCAAAACGGTTCTATTAAAATAGAGAGGGAATTTGAATTAAATGTATTTGTATTCGCTTCGCGTTGTTGGATTCGGGTTTGTCAGTTTAAACTCACTAGCGTAATCGATCTCTCAATATAATGTTAAATCATGACCGTGCAAACTGAAGCCCACTTGTGGAGTCATTTATCTCCCTCAAAGAGCTATGCATTGAATTTCGTACGATTAAAGGAAAGTTCAATTAAAAAGTGAAAATACATGTTGAGGGATTTTATTCCACAAATTGAAAGTATTTAAGCTATTTAATTAGAACTGCCGCGGGTGGTCGAGCAGGCGATTCAGTTTCCGACCAGAGATATCACCGCCTAGTCAATTGAAATTAAACGTCGGCTAAAATTAAATCTCGTTAATTATCCCGAGACCGATTGAAAACATCTCTAAATCTAAAATGAAGCACCACCCTCGCTTTAACCCTTTGGGTGCTAAGTACTTTCGGCGTATGGGCGAATTTTGTCAGGGCGTGCTAGCGATATTCGACCAAACGTCAGACGCACATATGCGTCGACAGCGCTCAAAGGGTAAACTTTACGAGAATGGAACTTTTTATTTCCAATTCAGATGTTACCGGACATTTTTAATCTTACCGAATGTGCTTCTTTCGTCTTACGATGTACAGGTGCATGTTGGGGAAAATTTTAAAAAAAAAAAGAAAAGAAAGAAAGAAACTGAATACGGGACAGGGAAATCTAAGGAACGTGTAACCGAGCTACGTCCTGTCTTGGTGATACCGAAATCGCGAGGAAGATAATCTCGAGGTTCGAGTCCGACCGAGCGAAGCACCCACATCCTTCCCGTTGCGGCTGCAACGAATTCCGTTGTAGCAACGCGATATCGTCGCAGCAACAATTTCGTTGTAGCAACGCGATATCGTCGCAGCAACGAATTCCGTTGTAGCAACGCGATATAGTCGCAGCAACGAATTCCGTTGTAGCAACGCGATATAGTCGCAGCAACGAATTCCGTTGTAGCAACGCGATATAGTCGCAGCAACGACAAAGGTTGCTACTGAAATCTACGGTGGCTCCTGCCAAGTACTATCCAAGAGTTATTCCTGGATCCACCAAAAACGATCATCGGGGACTGGTCAAATAGATTACTCCGACCCTTCGTCTGGTCGATGGACTTTGCCCCGGATATCTCTAGACTGCGGTATCCCATGTTCGATTGCAGAATTTCTACGACTCGAACCCTATGCCCTGGAAAGTTCGAATATCTTATCGTGAAATGAGGAAATCCTCCAGCATCTCGAATCGACTTCTCGAAGAAACGACAATTTAATACCGACTTGGCGATCTATTCGTGCCACGTAATAACATTAACATTTTCCAGCCAAATTGCATTCTATTATTGGCCTCGGTTATTAATACTGAATTATCAGGGTAAAAGAATCTATAAGGAATTACGTGGTGCCCTCTAAATTTAAAAACGAAACATTTTTAATTGAATATTTGCCGCATTGACGATGCAATGTCTGTCGTCGTCAACGTAAGTTCAAGAAAATGTAATTCACTCGGGATGCAAGAGACAGGGGTATCGATATAACTTAGGTTGGTCGTATCTTCAAAATAATTTGATCAGAATTTTCCTACGTTTAGCTATTAATTACAGATTCACAATTTCACTTAACCCCGAAACCTGCCGAACCTAGTTATTCATAAAAATCCCCAGAATCCCGGGTGGCGGTGGAGCATCGATCGTCTTCGGTATGACGTCGGGCACCGGACGTTCCCGAAAATGGTGGCCACGGGGGAGATGGAGGAAAATGGAGGAGAATTGGGGAAAATCGGATGAAAATTCCGAACAACGACCCGAACGAAACGAACCACCCAAGACCAAAAGGTGACGCTTACAGATAGCTCCTAATGACAAGCCAACGAGATTACCCTAAAACCATCCCTAAAATAAACCAATTGTCTCTAAAGAAACCTACAGAAGCCCTGGAGGAAACTCAAAATTTTTCAATTTCTCGCCGGGGACTAGAGAGCATCGCGCGAAGATGACTTTACGGGACGACACTGAATCATTCCCGAGAAGCGAGGAGAGCAACCCTTCCGTTTCCGTGCAGCTCGAGAACGCGCGCACTGGGGCGAGGCACCGGTAAAAAGACGGCCGAGACGCGCACTGCGACGAGTGGCATACCTCTTCTTGCCGTAGCCGACGTTGTCGAGCTCGACGTGCCTGTACGCGGCGTAAGTGGCCATGGCTGGTGTCCTGCGCTGGGTCCGCGAGGTGTCACGGAGCGGTGCGCCGGATCAGCTGACGTGCTCGCGGCGCGACGTCTCGCTCGCTCCTGCGAGTCGGGGTCGTGCGAGCGCGAGAGAGATGCGGCTAGAGCCGTTCCGCGGCCCGATAGGCCCTTTCCGTTGGGTCCTTTCCGTTGGGTCTTCCGACGCGTCTTGGGTGCACTCGATGCGGGTCGGGCAGTGTCGTCAGTCGGGTGCTGTCAGCCGCCGATCGAAGACCGATGCTTCGCGATCCTCCGTGATCCGTGGGCGTGCGCGATCGCGTCCAGAGCGGACTGGCGTGCCGAGCCTAGGACAGGCTGGTTTATAATGCCACCACCAGTCTCCGTCGGAAGAGAGCCTACCCTTCCACCGGAGGCCACCTCTCCTCGCTGCTCCGCTCGAGCTGTCTCTCTCGCTCGCTCTCTCTCTTTCCTCTCCTCGGTCTCGCGCAGCCCTACCTAAACCTAGGCTCCTCTCCGAGAGACCTGCCCTCCCACCTCCGCGCAAGGGTACACCCACGAGCCGGCGCAACCCGGACACCTCCGATGCGCCGCGCCACCCTCGCGACGCCGACGCCGACACGCCGTCCATTCACCTCGATCAATACACCCCGGAGAGACTACTCCGAGAGACCTATAGATACGGATGTATACGTCATTTCGCGATCGTCTGGCTTGGATCCGAGGAGAATGCGTTTTTATCGTTCCTCCCTTTTATTTACAGGAGATGGATTGCTGGGGCTGCGAGATGCGGGAAATGGACGCACTCGAAGATTGCATCCCCTCTTAGGGATTGGTGTACGCCGTGGATTGGGATAAGACCATAGATTTTCATCTCGCAAACGGGTGTTTGGTCTTTGGCATGAGGTTCCTTCCTAATTGTAGGGGGACATGTACACCGGATTCGTGCCCACGAGTTAAGCGTCCATATTATCGTTGAAAATGGAGGCAAAGAGATATGTAGATTTGCTTTTCTACGACGCTCGGTTATCCTGGAATAATTAGTTGAAAAATAATTAAGCAGGTGCACCGATTAGCGGAACGCGAAAATTAGGTCTACCAAATATTGGATTGGCCACAACCATATCCTATGATTGAACCAACATGAATTTTATCGATCGAAGCGAATATCTTTCTATGTGTAGAGCAGTGCCTGACAACTGACCCTGCGACTCCGCGCGCTGCAACCGAACGCCGCGGACACGTGTCGCACCTATGTGACGTATCGACTGTCCGGCCGGATATTGGGCGCACGAGCCCGAAATCGAGGAGGTATCGTTCCTGCCCTCCGTCTGGTCGTACCCGGAGATACACTTTCAAGGTTTCGGGAAGCTCGTCCGGCCGTAAAGAGACTCGTGCCCACGAAGGTTAGGGTTGCGACGCCGACGGATCGATCTCGCGCGACGACGCGCGAGGTGCACGTCTCGTTGCGGCGATCCCCTACTTAGTTGCACCGTTTATCCCCTTTCCTCTTTTCCGTCTGGAATTTGCATATGGAGGAGCTAGATCCCGAAGCGCACGTTTCTATGTACCGATAAAGCCACTTTCGAGCCGCGAACCGTATCTGTGCCCACTGGCCTATGATTTTGACCCGATAAACTGACGAATTTATGAGCGCAAGGAAATTTTATCATATGCACCGTTATCCAACGGGAATTATCCACGAAATTATCTACGGAATTTGGTTCGGTGAGGAGGACTTCGGAAGCTTTAGTTAAACAGATATGACTAAGAACGCGCGTTCCGAGGAGGTCTCGTCCAATATTAATTAGGGAGATTTTGTTTGGCAAATGAGATTAGATAATGTACCAGTACCGTTGTACCGAGTCTCTTGTCGTTACTGGAGATAGTGGCGCGTTGAAGTTTGTAATCTGTATGTAGCGTAGTGACTCTCTCCGAAAACGGTAGAGGTGATCGTTAATCACTATGTTCCAAATGATCCCGAAAGTCTTGGAAGGGACTTTATTAATTGTCTTCAATTGTCACTATTAAAGACGATTACCATCTAGGGATTTTCTGATCGTATTTAGATATTTAATTCCATTACACGGAGATAGGAAATAGAGAATTTCCTGCGGACGCTTTCGATCGAGTTTGCGAGGAAAGAGAAAAACGCAGCGGAAATGGAAAGCGTCTCTAGGTTGCATTTTAAGCAATGGAAAGCGATGCAGAACTCGAATTGTAATTATTGGGAGCACTTTCGGAATAATACCGGTACCGATACCGAATAATCGAACGGCCTGAATATGCGCGTTTTTTGCCAAGTCTAATCATGATCCGCATCGATTAAAGGCGTTTCCGCAGTTCGCGGCTAGAATCGCGCCGGGAAAGTCCTCCAATGGCTGCGGATATAGTTCACGGTATATATAATGATAGCAAGGCGGTACGGTAATTAGGTTACACCTCGGTACACCGTTCGATATGTCTTTGTCTATGTGGAATCGGCGTTTCCGCTCCAATGGTCCGGCCGTTCCGCAGAGGAAAGACATCCGGTCAAATTAGAACGGACCTTCGGATCCACGTGGAGGCACAAAAAACAGTCCATCTCCACGGAACAGGCAGTAAACCTGCAAACTGCCCGCAATTTTTCTCGTATGACTTTGCATATCCTCCGGGGATCGCAAATCGCTTCCAAAGAAGAGATCGCTCGATATTTCCGCTTCCGCTCGAGATTCGAGATGAAACTTCAAACCTAGCCACGGGCAAGTGCAACGTCAATAAGACCTGAGCACTGTATGTGTACTTGACATTGGTTGAAATTTCTGCTCGCTCCAAATGATAAATCGAGTCAAAATTCAAAATAAAAATGGAGAGGATCGCTTAATTAGATATAATGATTAGAGCGGTTATGTAATAACGGTGAATTAATTTTAGGAACGTTCCTAACCCCATAGCCCCACAAGTACCTCTCGCATACCTCGTCGATGCCCTGTATACTATACCTATACTTTTGCCGTAATACCCATTATTTCCCCTCCTCGCACATATCCGTGGATAACTTTTAAGCACGTATTACGTTTCCAGCAACTCCCGTTATTTCCACAGTTCGGAGTATTTATTTATCCCGCAGAAAGGGATTTATCCCCGGAATTTTTTGGACGCTTTACCTTTCCCAGACATGCGAGACAAGGAAACCAACGGGGGGGAAAAAGGGAAGGACAAAAAAGAAGAACGAAACTTCGAAGACTTGGACCAAGTATCCGGTGTTCAATTGGCGCAAAAGCCTCGAATGGGCACTTTGTTGCAGAGTCATCGAAGAAAGAACCGTCTCGACGGAATCCTGGCACGAAAACGGTCCCGCTTGTACCGAGTCCGACGCTTATGCAAACCCCTCTATGCACCGGAAAGGCCTGCACCGAGACTCCTTCACTTATGCAAGCGCATCTATACACCGGAAAGTCCGACACCGCCAAGGGGAGTTTGCGTTTCTTAAATGGGAATCCTCCGGGCCGACTTCGTCACCATTATTGACTCTTACGTCTCTACCTTTCATCGCCACTCCTCATCTTTCATTTCAGAGCGATCCCACTTGCCAGGTGAGAGCACCTCGCTCGTTTCATGGCGCATTGTCCGATCTATAGCCGATTTCCACGGGTCCCTCTCCGATCCTCGAGGCATTCCGGATGGCCACTGATGGGATATTAAGAATCACTCAACAGTGACGCATTATTCAAACTACTCGATGCATCCTGGAAAGTATCGCGCATCGATTCGCGCGAAAGTTATCAAGGAAGCGACCCACTGGAAGTGGCAACTTCCATCGTGGAAAGGATGCCTACATGAAGGTCCACGCTCTCTTCAATAATGATAAAAAAAAAGAAAAAAGGAAAATGCATCGAATTTAACATTGATGACTTCAATCATTCTCGAAGTTCGGGCCATTTAAGGTGAAGTGAAACCCCCTTCAAATCAGTCGATTCGAATACAACACTTTTTTTAAGGGTATTAGACCGAACTGTCCGAAACTTTGACACATCACTCCTGATCATCTAAAAATTGTCCTGACACATTAAAAATTTGGATTTTAATCGATAAACTCGCATTTGAACGGGATAAAAGCAAGAAAAGTGTTGTATGCGCTTCTATGCTAAAACGATGGGAATACGAGGTCTCGGAGGGAAAATTCCTTGATATTTATTGTACAAAAACGACAGGTGGAGTATACCATTCGGTACAATATCCAATATAATTCGACACAACTGTCAATATAAAAACATTATAAAACAATATAAAAAAAATCCTCTTTATCGACGTCGATCAAGTTGCTCAACGTGTTTCACTTCACCTTAAATATCCAACATTTTATCATATTATTGGTTTTATATGCGAGATGTCGAAAAAGTGACCGAGCGTTGGGAAGACGTTGTGAACGTAAAAAAATATCTTGTCCAGGAACGTTGTTACATTTAACTTCTGAAAATAAATTTCTTTAAATGCAAAATGATCGGCATGAATTTATGGGGCGGCACGGTAGAACCTATTGTAAAATAAGAGAGACGCGAGAATTGAGTACCGTTTCTCGCAAAAAGGCTAAACACCTTTTGAAGGTTAGTGACTTTCTTTTTCGGGTTAACTTCTTTTCCTATTAATTAATGTCGCATTTCCTGTAAGCCGTGACAACCGTGGCGAGCCTTGCGGTGTTCCCTTTTTCCTCGTTTAATTCAAGGTCGACGTTTTCGAGCGAAGTTCACCGACTCGTACGCGGCACGCGGATGTTACCGCTGGTCCGAGGAATTACGAAACCGCAATAGCAGCACCCGGTCTGGCTTCTCCGCCGTGGCTGACTTCCGAGAGGCGCTTAGCCGACGATTGTGGGACTTCGCGAGGTGCAACTTTATACGGCGATATCGTTGACCCCGGCCAGTTTCTACCCCAAGTCGCAACGATCGTTCTCGATCGAATCTTTAAACGCTGGGACCATTTTCAATGAAATCATTTACGTAAACGTAGTTTAAATGGAAAACCCATTTTAACCGCGGTCTAGCACGTTAACTTGTTAACCGAGGCTTGTGGAACTCGGCGTCTGATCCTCCGATCATTCGGTTTGCCTAAAGAAATTTCCGTCTCGTTTAATTCCCTAGACCTCGACGTTCATTTCCCTCTCCGTCATTAATTAAATAGGCCGAGTAAAATCGAAATTAACATTTAAGACACAATTACTGTTATCAAAGGGTAGAGCAAAGTCTGCGGTACATAATGGCGCATGACGTGGACATAGAGGAGAAACGATTTTAATTGAAAACAAAACATCAGGGACCCTATTCTCCAGCTCATACGAACAACGTTCGCATACG